ACCAATTCCTATAGTTGTCTCTTCTGATATCCACGGAACGAGATAGGATAACGGATTATTTTATTTTGAGATAGTCCTCAATGTCGTGTTGCTATGAATTAATATTATAACGTGCGATCAAAGCATTTGGTGATAGTACAAGCACATGAAATACTATGGCAGTGCATTTTTTAAAGATAGTTGTATTTTATTATATACTTTTATTTGACCAGAAAGCTCGTCAGTATATTTATTTGCCAAGCCCGTGCCTTCACTCCATAATAACTTATTATAATCATACGCATAATAATTACTTTAAACAGTTTGTACATCCTGTGTTTCTCCAGATATGGAATAAACTTTTCTGGCATTTGCAGTGGTCGATTCGTTGCATCTGTTTCCGTCATTTTTAATAAATGTTTCTAGTTTTTACGTTTCTAAAACAAAAGCACAAATTAACTAGATACCGGCGTAACAAAAGTATGTTTCCCAAGGAAAAGAAATGTGGCAATAAAAGTATGATTTTGACATATTTATGTTTTAATTTTTTTCATAATTTCTATATATTATGTAATATCAGTTAAAACGTAGTGATTATAATATACTCTTTGATATCAGTGACATCAATGTCGCAAATATACCGTTAGAAAGACCCGTGGCAAATTAATCTGATGGGGCCCTCTCCCACTCAAAATTAAGAAGCTTTTTTACGTGGTAGAGCCATGCTGCAGCTATATTGGTAGTATAGTTGTAGCACGAATGGGTTGGCTTGACCAGGGAAGGACCATGCTCTCACAGAATACCAGTGTAAAATAGCACTTGTATGTAGAGAACCGGAGACCCATTTTACTGGAAACGAAGTATTCCATTTCAGTCCTCACGGGTGACAACGCATCTGAGTATATATGTAAGAGTCTATGGGCCACAGCAACCACCATAGACTTAGAATGTACTGGCGTATAGACGACCATATACACATTGAATAAAACCACTTATACGTATTTTATCGCCTTCAATTAACTTATTTTTAATTCCTTCTACTCCGTTCACATGTTACACCCTATTTTTCTCCAGACGGTAAAAAAGGTCATTCAGTATAATCATAGTATAAGCTTCGATCAACAATGTTGGTATTGTTGATGATCGAAGGGTATAGGAGATTAAGAGCATTTTTATTACAAATCCATATAGATCAATACTTAAAATAAAACATTTGAATATTAAATAAGTGTTCTATAAGTATCATAAAGGTAAATATAGTCAAAATACTTTCTAATTTCAGATAAAGCCATGAATTTGCGAATAAAAGGGTGGTAGCAATAAGGCTCAACTGGGATCCCAACATTTGAAAATTTCGTTTGTTCCATCCATTTTAGTACTTCATTTATTTTTGAAACCAAGGGTAGACTGCTTAAGCCGGTTGAAGTGGAGTGCTGCAGTTGAGGGTAAACGCTAACTTTGGCAATTATTTATGTAGGTACCTACGCATAAAATTACGTGTGTGTCTTCACGGTTATTACAAAACTAATGAATGTAATTCTTAAATATATTAAAATTAAAATAAAATATCTTGTACGTAAAACTGCAACCAAGCAAACAAAACAACAAAATTATTATATAATAAGTTAACGTTTCTTAAGTCAGTAAATTAATTAAATTATTTTGATTTTTGATTAATAAACATTGCTTTATAAATAAGTACCTCTGTTTTATTGATCTGCAAAACAATTACCTACCTACCTAGTATTTACTAAATACCTACGCAATTAAATTAGTAACTTAAGTACAATAATTCATAGTTGTCAATCATGGAGTATAGAGGTAAGGAGGACAATCTCCTATAGAAGAATAGTTGAAAATGTCAAAAACTCTCCACATCAGCGCTCTAGTAGCTACAGGGTATGATAAATCGCCGTAAAATACGTAGAGAGTATTTTGAAAATAAAAATTTTGAAAGCAATAAAATAATTGTTCTTAAAGAATTATGGTGAAAGTCTGTTCAATAAAAAAAATATAAAAAGTTCTTTAAAATTTAGACTGTAGCTACAGCGGCGTCACCCTTACTTAACGCTGTCCTACGGACATATTTTTTTTATACAGAGTCTGTACTCTTTACCTCTCCACTCCATAGTGTCAACCTTGGCGCATCACTATTCAACCTCTTCGTCTATGTAACATACTGACCTCTATATACAAGTAATATATAGAGATCAGTGATGTAACAATATTTTATAGAACACCTGCTTACACTTGGCATAAAGGGAAATGAGTGACTTTTTGCAAACTTTTTGGTAGGAACTTAACCACTAGCGGATTGTTGCTCCTGTGTTTTCGTACAATGGTATGGAATGGATTTTAATATTGATGCACAAATGTGGTGAAATTCTATGTTCTAATTACGTTACTAACTTAAAATCAAAAAGTATAGAAAATTTTGGATGGAGGTTTATGCATGATATTTTTAGTGGAAACTGTGTAACCAGTGCTTCGATTCGTTTAGGTACCTTGAGATACTACCGTCATGAATTAACATCTGGATAAAGCTGTTATAAAAAAAATACCGAAAACTATGCAAAGCGACACAGCTTAAATATAGCGAACATCGATCACTAATAAAAAACTAGATACAATATCAGTGACAAAAAACGACCTCACCAAATGAGCACCCATTCGAACATTTGGATGCGCTTTTAATCTAGTTACATTCGAACGCTCCGACGGTGAACATGCCTAAGTGCTCGTTTAAAAAATGTAAAAATCACACATCCAGGACGCTAAAAAAGGATGGAATTTCCTAATTTCGGTACGTATTAATATTATCATTATTTAATTGTTATCACTGTATTGTAAATACTTATATTTTGTCAAGAAATCTCCGTAAAACATTTTTTAAATTAAGTTTTAATAAAATAAGTCATAATTGTTCGTTGACTTTGTTCCATTTGTTGGAGATGTTATTACTTTTTTATTATTAAAGTATGTTTTTTTTTTGTTTAATGAGACTTCTTTATAGTTTCTCCAAATATTATAGTAACATATTATAGACTTAATTTTGAATATGTGCATGTAGTAAAATTAAAGATGTGAGTTTTTATTTTTAATTTTTCAATTTTCCTCGAGATCCAGTTAGATGTGCAGAATGGATATCAGTCATAGCATGTCAAAGGTCCGAAGAATTCTTCAAACCGACCCAAGGAAGCGTTGAATGTTCGAAGTATTTTTTATAAAGTGATGAATATGTGACTACGACTTACAACTTTCTGTACATACTTTTTATATTTAGTAACTATTGAATTTAGATTTAAGTTCTTTGTCAAGCAATATTTTAAAATTTTTGACACAAGATGAAGAATAAATAAATAATTATGACTGTTTCAAGTACTTTCGTTACTAAATGAATGTGGTGTCCTATCCAAAAACGTATTTACATTCAAGTAAATTATAACCATTACACATAATACACCATAGAATAGAATAGAATATGCTTTATGTACTACGACTTACAAGTCTTTAAAAGTCTTTAAAAAACTTTGAAACTTTTAAAATTAAAATAACAGTAACAAAAATATTGGGCGTGATTAAAACTACTTTTACGGATTTTATCGCGTTTATTTTTACTTTTTATTTACTTTTATTTTTAATTCCCGACGTTTCGGGCGCTTTCCAGCACCCATGGTCATGGGACTTGAATTAAAAATAAAAGTAAATAAAAAGTAAAAATAAACGCGATAAAATCCGTAAAAGTAGTTTTATTCATGTATAGTGTTCGCGTAAATATAAGAAATCATTATAAAAATATTGGGCATTTCGACTCCAATGATACCTTATCAAAATTACGAGCCTCGGTCCTAAAATTTGATTGCTTTTTATTAGCACTTTGTAATTCTGACTTTGAAACACGCATGTAAGGTTGAATTTGTTTTGATATAGGTTGACCAGCCAGTATCAGTCATAAAAATTTATTGCTTTTCGTACGTATCTTTGTGAATACAACTATAGGCAATGTATTTAAGGTTGAATTTACATAAATGTATATTTATTTCAACTAGAATTACGTCACAACAATTAGCGACAGATTTTAGAGAACTTTTGTATAGGATTGTGTATCTAGTACTTTATTAGTGATCGATGATAGTGAAGAATTTTTTGCAACTTAAAATAAGAGGCAGAGTAGGCTGTATGGCCTAAGACCTCTTACTGCCTTAAGTGGCGAATCGTAAAACTACAAAAATTATTAACAGCCGTAGACAGAGAAACCTATAGACACTATAGACTAATGATCGGCGTGGCCTCGAGGGAGAAAGGACGATAACGAATTTTTAGGTTATACAATAATCTTTATGACTTTTAAACACATTAAAATAATTTTTTTTTATTGTTCTAAGAACTGAACTGAACAAGATTCACCAATCTTAAGCTCACAAAACACTTTTTTTCACTTAAACCAACTTGTAAACTCCTTAAATCGCTACGCTGTTAAAGTTGTTAGCAAACTGTAGAGTTTGCTAAACAAAAAGACCGGCACGGAGTTAGGGACAAACAATCACACCGCTCTATCTCATTTCTATGCAAGACGTATGCATAAATCTATCTTTTTCGTGTTCGAATGCGAAAGATGGGGTCAATTTGTCTATAGGTTTCTCTGTCTACGTTAACAGCTGATTATCAATTGTCAATTGTCATGCTTAACTTTGAGGTTATGTTTTGAAATTCTTTGGTAATCAGTTGATGAGTTTCTAATCCTCAAAAGCATTCATGACTATATTTATTCGGTTTATTGTTACCGCATTACGGATCAGAGGTCATTTTAAGATATAAATGATAAAGCTACTATTTACTTCGTATATATAATATGAGATGAGTTAACGTAAATCGCGTCATTCGCGCCAAGGTTACTTTTTGCTTTAAGTGCAATTAACAATAAGAGCAATTTGCTCAACTCCTCGCAAACAGAGATCAGTGAGCCGATGACTAGCGTCGGTTTATGTCGCACGTTACTAGTTTGTAGGATATTTATAAGAATGTCATCAAGTAAATTTAACTATGAGGTTAGTGTTGTGCCAGATATTTGCATATTTATGTTGTCATTTACATTTATTTACTTAAATATTTCTTGTATTACAATTGAATAAAATCATAACGTCGCATCGTGTCCCTGGAATGACAAGGATCACAAGGATCAAGTGTTGAAATGAGTTCAACACTAGGTCCATGCCACTACGAAAATTAACTATAAAAAACCTATTACCTATTGTATGTTGTTAGTTTTGTGTGAGCTAATAAAATATATTGTGAAATTCTCTAATTTATTTATTAATTGTCATGAATGAAAAGAATGTAAGTATGTGAGAAGTTATTAAAATATTGTTTGCCTGTTACAGGAAGCCGTGAAGAAATTAAATTTATTACAGTCAAATAAGTCAACTATAGAGCAAATAAGAAGAGATATAAAACTAGGCCAAGCAAGTATCCTATAATTTTTAAAATACTTATTTAATGAATGAAAAAATCACAGAAAACATGATGATGGACCTCTCTGTGATTCAAATTAGCTTACTTAGCTTGAAGTGTTCTAAATTTTGTCTCCGTATATACTGCAAGCAATTTTCTTATTTAAAGCATTATAAACAACACAATTCTGATAGCATTTACTTCATAATTGTTATTGATATTTTGATACAAGGAAATATTTACAAAATGGTCTAACAACTTTTATATATAATTTCAACTCCATACAAGATTTGTTATTAGATAATGGGTAAATTATTTGTACAAATAGAATCTCATTTCTAGCAAATGACCTTTTGATTTTGTTTAAATAATAACATTGTTTCTACTGCATTAATTTACTCTTATTCTAGATTTTCCCTTACTAGCGGGAACTATACTTCTATATTTGTGTATTTATAAAATTTTAGGTTTTTCATTTATGGATTCTTTAAAAATATATATGGTATAAATTTTATTAAATTATACATTTTCACAAATGTAAGGATAGAATATCATCATAATGTCCACATTATCATGATATTCTATCATTATGTTTATAGCAGATTAAGACAAATTATCATTCATTTCATTTTATTGGTGTCTTAAAAGATGACTGAGCAAATGGAGCTAAACAACTATTTTGTGTGTAAGGGTAATAGTTTGTCATTTTGTGATTATAGAAATGCACAAACATAGAAGATATGGAAAATTACTTAGCCAGGACAGGTGTGTCCCTGTCAGCATTAGACAAGCTCTCTGTTATACATGTGGCTGGCACTAAAGGCAAGGTGAGTATCTCACATTGCATGAATTTATCAGTTGCTAATGTAATGTTTGTGTCATTCTTATTCCTATTAAGATGCTAATTAATAACACTCATGATTGAATAATAATTGACAGGTGTTAGTTAGTGTAATTTGCCCCAGCACTTGGGCATACTGTAGGTGTGACAACTGTTAATATTGAACAATATTCATATTGTGATGTTATTCACAAGTCTACAAAATTTTAATAAAACAATATAATACTGCAAGTTGTGAACCCAGCATTTATAGTTCTTACGTGAGTAATTTGCTACTGTAGTAAGTGCATTATTGTGTGTCACTTACCTCGGGATTGTTATCAATTATCGCTGCTTGATGTGAACCTCACTATGCCAAATATAATTTGAGAGTCTATGAGATTTATGAGCATGTCTGCTACAAAGAAATTTGTTTAGTATAATTCCATACAAAATATCCCAACAATACGAAATGTCTTTTATTTTTTATAATACATAAAAAATAACACACATAAATAACAATGTTAACACAAAACAAGTCATTGGTGATTGAATTTAAAGTATTGCAGGGGCAATGTATGGGTGATGTGATGTTGTATAGGTCTAAGTTCAGTTCAGTTGTGGACTTTTATATAATGTTTCCTTAAGTTAGTTAGGTTTTTTCACATACATGAGCAGAAATTATATATAAAGATTACAATTATGTAATATAATAATCACCAAAATGGTCATCATGCATATTATATTAGGCATTAGGTGTGTTTGAACTGTCGTATGTTTGGTATGTTCATAATAATCATCATCATCATCATTACAGCCCTTCACAAGTCTACTGCTGAACATAGGTCTCCCCCAAGATGTGCCACAAAGCACATGCATGTCTTGCCCACATGCTTGATAGGTGGTGTAAATGATGTTAAAAATTTATCAGCTAAGATCCGCGTAATTACCATCCGCATGCCGCGTCACTCCATCTAGTGGGGGGTCGCCCTACACCTCGCCTACCGGTACGAAGCTGCCACTCGAGAGCCTTTTTTCCCCAACGGTTGATGGTTCTTCGAGCTATATGGCCGGCCCATTGCCACTTTAGCTTACTAATCTGTTGGGCTATGTCGGTCACTCTGGTTCTACTGCGGATATCCTCATTTCTAAGTTTATCACGCAGAGAAACTCCGAGCATAGCCCTCTCCATAGCTCGCTGAGCGACTTTGAGCGTCCTCATACGGCCAGGAGTGAAGGACCACGTCTCGGTTCCGTAGGTCATCACTGGCAATACGCACTGGTTGTACAACTTAGTTTTCAGGTTTTGAGGTATACCTGACGAGAGGATGTGTCGTAATTTCCCGAACGCTGCACAGCCGAGTTGAACCGTCTATTGACCTCTCGGTCGAAGTTGGACTTACCTAGTCGGACTATTTGTGCCAGGTAAACGTACTCGTCGAGAACTTCGAGTATAGTGCTCCCAACAACTACTGGCATAGGTGTGACATGGACATTAAACATGATATTTGTTTGTCCATGTTCATCTTAAGACCTATCCATTGGGAGGCACTATTGAGGTCATTGAGCATAGTGCTTAAGTCCTCCAGCGATTCTGCCATAAGGACTATATCGTCGGCAAATCGAAGGTGAGTGATGTACTCGCCATTGATGTTAATACCGTATCCTTTCCAGTCCAGTAACTTGAAAACGTCTTCCAATGCAGCGGTGAAGAGTTTCGAGGAAATAACGTCACCCTGTCTTACACCTCTCTGCAGTTGGATAGGTTTCGTACTCTGGTTCTGTACTCGGATAGCCATCGTAGCCCTACTGTACAAACACTTCAGCACTTTGATATACCGACAGTCAACTTGGCACCGCTGAAGAGACTGTAGCACCGCCCAAATTTCGACGGAATCAAAAGCTTTCTCATAGTCCACATACGTCAGGTAAAGTGGCAGATTGTACTCTTCGGACTTCTGTACAATTTGCCGAAGGTTATGTATGTGTCTATGGTACTAAAGCCCTTTCGGAAACCGGCTTGTTCGGGAGGCTGGTAGTTGTCGAGTCTACGTGCAAGACGATTCGTAATGACTTTCGAAAACAGCACGTAGACGCGACTCAAAAGAGATATTGGTCTGTAGTTCTTCAAGAGGGCGACCAAGATATTATGATAAGGCGTGATCCGTTTCGAGGTTCCCTACTTCTTTAAAGAAAAAAACACAGAAAATTCAAATTTTACGGAGAATGTATTTGTTTTTTTATGAATTATTATCATTTGAAAGAACATTCTTTGGCATTTATTTTTTGAAGATTATGTCTATCAAATGTTGGCCGTTGCTACGTCGCAGATGGTCCATCCGTTGAGTCCAATTTTCGATGACTCGTTCGAGCATTTCGACTGGTAACTGGCGAATGACACGCGTGATGTTTTCCTCCAAGGCCTGAATCGAAGCGGGTTTGTCCGCATAAACTTTATACTTTACATATCCCCACAGGAAAAAGACTAACGATGTGATATCACACGATCTTTGTGGCCAATCGACTGGCCCAAAACGTGAAATTATGTGCTCACCGAAATGTTTTCTCAATAAATCCATTGATTGATGCAATGTGTGGGAAATGGTGCCGTCTTGCTGAGACCAAATGGCGCCGAGATCACGAGCTTCAATTTCAGGCATCAAATAGTTTGTTATCATAGCACGATAACGGTCGCCATTGACGGTTACGTTCGCACCGGCATCATTTTTAAAGAAATATGGACCGATGATTCCACCGGCCCACAAACCACACCAAACCGTTGTTTTTTCTGGATGAAGTGGCAGTTCTTGAATCTCCTCAGGTTGCTCTTTGTCACAAATGCGGCATTTTTGTTTGTTTCCATACCCATTGAGCCAGAAATCAGCCTCATCGCTAAATAAAATTTGCCTCGAAAACGTCGGATCTTCTTGGAACTTTTCAAGAGCCCATAGAGCGAAGCGATGTCGCTTGGGAAGGTCGAGCGGCTTCAGTTGTTGCACAAGCTGTATTTTGTACGCTTTCAGTTTAAGATCTCTAGACGTAAAATGTGCCAAGTCGTTCCATACGTCAGTCCGAGTTGCTGCGAACGGCGCCGAATCGACTCTCCACGGTCTCGTGTACACTCTCAGCTACGGCCACTATATTTTCTTCACAACGTACTGGACGTGGTCTATTCAGTCGAATATTATCCAATAATTAATGCTGGGTCTCAAAATGGGTGAAATATAAATTCGTAATAAAGTTGAACGATTTGTAAACGTTGTTCAGGCGTAAGTCTTTCCATTATGAAATGCCAAACAATACTAAACAAAAATAACATGACAGCATGACACGACTCACACGTGATCGGCCAAAAATGCTATTGAAAAAAGTGTCTCTACCTGAATCACCCATTATAATGGTTTAGTGAGTAGAATGTTATTAAAGTTTTTATTAACAGTTTATTTATTGATCCAAACACGATGTGAACTTTGTTTTATTGGCACACTGTTAAGCTTAGGTTCATTTATTTCGTTAGGTGTTTGAAAGAAATCATTTTCCACCAGGGCTCAACAAGTGCGATGTGTGAATCAGTCCTTCGCCAGCATGGGTACAGGACCGGCTTCTACTCTTCTCCTCATCTAGTAGAAGTGCGTGAGCGCATCAGGCTCGATGGTCGCATTGTTAATAAGGACACCTTCGCCAAGCATTTCCACGAGGTCTATGACCGGCTTTACGCTACACAGGTAAGGTAAACTCCAACTTGTAATTGTCCCGTAGTTGAAATATAATCTTAATATGTTAGTTGTTTTTTAAAGTTAAATATATAAATCAAGGTGATGTACAAGAGCCTCTCCTGTAGAAAGTACGCCTTAATTGCGTTGTTCTGACAGGAAGCAGATCACAGTATCACTAGTTTAGTTAGTTAGTTTAGTTTACGACGGGCTGTTTTCCGCAACTCCACGTCTAAGCGTGTATTTTGCGTGTGGGCAGGAATAATGTAGTTATTCTAGCTTCGATATTTCCCCGAAGAAGTTCAACAGTCCTTTGATGTTGCAAGCAACTTCGGGGTGCGATCCCGGCGTGCCGAGATGTTTAGCCCTATGTGAAGCGACCTCTGGACATGTCAGCAACACGTGAGCTGCCGTTTCTTCCTCCTCCATGCATGCCCTGCATAAGGGAGTTATCTGTAACACCTATGGTAAACAAATGTTTGTGAAAAGAGCCATGTCCTGTGATAGCACTTGTTACTATGCTGATCTGTGGCTTGTTTAGTCTCGTTAGAACCTTTGCTAGGCGATTGTTTATTTCAGGCAGGGCCTCCCTAGCTTGTCTACAGTCTATTAAATTTTTCCAAAGTATCACACCTTTGATGCTGTGATCTGGCTTTTTTACGACACCTATGGGACAAAATTGGATGATGAAATTTTTAGGTCATCACAAGGCTCCCCGTTACGATGGCATAAGATAGAAAACAGGTGTAAGCAGAACCTTACACCTCTTTTCCTCCCTTTTCATATATAATAAAATGTAAAATGTGATACAAATCTTAATAATAAATTCTCCATATGTGATTTGTTTACAGAGCTACGAAGGCGACATGCCCAAGTATTTCGCATTTCTGACGGTGCTTGCATATAACATGTTCTTGAAGGAAAAAGTGGATGTAGCGATCGTTGAAGTGGGCATTGGAGGCATTGTCGATTATACCAACGTCCTCAGGTAATAACGGGTAATACTTTGTACACGCGATATAAATAGGGCTGTCAAAACGCATAGCGCTCTAAATTTAAGTATGTTGTATAGTATTTATAAAAAAAATAAACTCTATAAATATGAAGTTCCATATAGTGGTGTAATTACGAGATTAGTGTATTGGTGGTGTAAAAATACGCCACTATGCCATATCTTCCCATTAGTAACGTAAGAGGAGAGCAGCATCTTCCTTAATAAAAATCTATGGTTAGCCACTCAGCTGCAAAGCGTGGCAACTATGGCAAAATATAAGGCAATCTATGGGGGATCCTATGCTCAGCAGTGAACTTTTATAGTCTGTAGTGAATGTACAATGGAATATGATCATAAATATTTACTTTCAACCGACCTTAAAAAAAGAGGAGGTTTTTAATTCAACTGTATTTTGTATTTTATGTGTTAACTTTTTTTATACCATTGGGGTGACAAGTAACAAACGAGCACACAGTCCACCTGATGGTAAGTGTTTGGTGTGGCCTATAGACATCTATATCTTACCTCGATTACGAATCAAAATGCAGATGCGTTGTCGCTCCTGAGGACTAAGATGGAATGCCTCTTTTTCCAGTAAAATGGGTCTCCGGTTTTCTACACTCACCGTATGAAACAGCAGCATTAAGCTACTATTTCACGCTAGTATTCTGTGAGAGCGTATACCATCCTCGGTCGAATCGACCTCATCATGATACAACTATACGAGTAATATAGCTGCAGCATGGCTTTACCACATGCTCAGGACTTTTTTCTAAGTAAACCGATTTTGATGATCCTTTTTGTGATCCTCAAAACATTTTTAGGCGATTTTGAAGATTCTTTTATTATTTGAAAGCTAGTGCTTCTCATGTGGTCCCATATAAATTTGATTAAGATCTGAGCAGTAGTTATCCTTAATAATACATATTTAATTGACTTCGACTACATTGATGATGTACTCATTATATTTATATTGAAATTAGTTCTACAAAATTTTTAATGTTACTTAACTACTTACTTGTTACTTAAATTGTTATGGATTTTGTGGTGTAGTGTAGCCCTCACGTTAATATATATAATTAAGTGTATTATAGACATGATAATCATGCATGATTCATTCGTTTGAGCTGGTATATTTAAAAGTATTGATGGTTCATTCATTTGTTTTTGAATGTACTAGTACAACCAATCACAAACAATTGACGGTACCTTTTGTATGAATTGTGAATGAGTTGAAAACCGACCGAATCCCGAATGTTATGAATAAACAGGTGGATCGAATAAATACAGACTGCAGATTATCAGGCGTTTTTATTATTTAAGGGTTTTTTATTACATCTTGTTATATTTATCTTGTTACCTAAATTAAAAATTATTTTACATTTTATTATATTTATTTGTTACTATGAGTTAAAAATATAATTTCGTAGTTTACTAAAAATAACACTTCAAAAGATTTCATGACAAATGATTTATTTAATATGATAAAAACCTTATATATGTATAAGATAGGTAAAAGTTTAATTTTGTAACAAATAAATGTTACAGTCCCTATTTTTAGACATGTAAAGTAAGATGAAATTGTGTATTATTCGATATGAAATTTAATAGTAAACAAATTTATTAAATATTTAAAATATATAATAATATTGAATAAAGTTATCAATTAAAATCAAATCAAATCTATTAAATCACTTGAGGTTTTTGTGTTTATGTCATCTAGCGTCGAATGTACTTACCACCTTGAAAGTCAATAGGTTTTAGTTCGATGAAATAACTTTATTACCTGTAGTAGATGGCGCTATTACTTTAGTCCGAAATGATCCATTTGAATGATTGATCCGAATGTACCAGTACGCGTGAGGAAATATACTAGAATGATACGGTCACTAGAAATGAATGACACCACATATCTAGTGTATTATAAGCAATAGTTCAATTAAAATCTTAGACAGAACAACATATCTCTCTTATTGACACCTGTCCAATATTACATCGCTATGTCCTGCCAGGCGGTACGTTGCTACAGTACTCGCATACGTGTGTTTGTGTGTGTGTGTGTGTGTGTGTGTGTGTGTGTGTGTGTGTGTGTGTGTGTGTGGGCGCGGCGCGCGCGCGTGTGTGTGTGTGTGTGTGTGTGTGTGTGTGGTGTGTGTGTGCGTGTGCTGCGCGTGTGCGTGTCGCGTGCGCGCGTGTGTGTGGGGGGGGGGGGGGGGGGGGGGGGGGGGGGGGGGGGGGGGGGGGGGGCTTTTGTGTGTGTGTGTGTGTGTGTGTGTGTGTGAAGATTATTTCTATTAGTAGAATTTCCCAAAATATCACCTCTGCACCACTGCACCACTGCGTGTGTATAAGAAGTAAAAGGTAAAATTTGTGTCATAGGAAAGTGCCCGTAGTCGGAATAACAGCATTAGGCCTCGATCATACTTCGATTTTGGGGAATACATTACCTGAGATCGCTGAAGCCAAAGCCGGCATTATGAAACGATGCTGTGAGGCATATACTGTACACCAACCACCGGACGCCATGGAGGTGCTGCAAAGAGTTGCCAAGAAGGTTCAGGTATATTTTCGTAGTTTGTATGTTATTTGTTGAAATAATATATGCATATTGTTCGGTTCGCTTCTAGTGGGAAAGCACTACACTCTCACAGAATACCAACGTGAAATAGTAGCTTGATGCTGCTGTGTACCCCTTTTGGACATTTTTACTGAAAACGAGACATTTCACCTTAGTCCCCAGAGGTGTCAACGCATCTGCATTTTTTTTCTTAATCGAGGATATTTATAGATCTCTGGACCACAGCACACTTACCTTCAGGTGGACTGTTTGCTTGTTTGTTACCTTTATTTATAACTTCGTCTGTCAAACATATAGTTAACGTAATAAACTTCTTTTAACTTAACGATTATTATATTTTAAATACTCCTTGCGATAATCTTGATCAGTACTCCTTAAGCTTCTAGTAAGGTGGGTGGACCATGGAAGGCCCTGCTCCTTCGAAGGTCAATTATTAAAATGTCGTAGTTATTGCCATGTGATGACAAATTCCTTCTATTTACACAAACGCCCATCGAACTGAAAATCACAGACGCGGCTGCGAATCGCTTACGCTACTATTTTGGCAGTACGGTCCCTCGCTTCATTGATTTTGGAAATCGACGACATTAAATTAAGGTGGGTGTACCATAGAAAGCTACTCTAACAAATAAACAGTTATTCTTCATTTATTTACTGGATAAATGAAACTAACAAATATTTAAGTAATACTTTGTTTTATTACGTAACATATAAAACACTTCTTTTTATTTTAGATTTAATCGCTATTTATTAAACTTTAGTGTTAAATGACTGATTTATTATAATAGTTTTCTAAGAAGCCTCGTTCCCAGTAAGGCCATTTGAAGAGTTCAATGAAACTTAAGTTTAATCATTATTGATTAAATCTGCAATTTAAAACTGGTTTATATGTTACGTAATAAAACAAAGTATTACTTAAATATTTGTTAGTTTCATTTATCCAGTAAATAAATGAAGAATAACTTTTTATTTGTTAGAGTGCCTTCCATGGTACACCCACCTTATATTATTCGTAAATTAACAATTTACATACGTCCTACTGCTGCACATCCTCATCTGCTCTCATTTTTAGAGCAGTGAAGTTGGACTGGTTCTACTTCACAAATATAATGCGTGTTGCAAGTTTCTTTAGAAAGTTTTCGTTTGCCGCCGAACACGACCTTCAAGAAAAGAGCTTACTCTTTTTTAAAGGGTCGGCAACACACCTGCAATTCCCCTGGCGTTACGAATGTTCATGGCCGACGGAAGTCACTTAACATCAGATGAACCGCCTACTCGTTGGCCCCCTCTTCTATAAAAATAAACGTTCTACTAGACGTCCCTCACGCAGATCATCGGTGAGATTAATGCGACAAAGTTTAAACTTATTAAACAAGTAGTTGTAAACAGTGGCACGAGATGGGGCTTCATCGTGAAAGGCCAATCGAAGTCTATCACAACTTTCTTGTTGACTTAAATGACATCGAAAGCTATAAAAAATGATTGTACGAAAATTTTCTCGCGTTAAATTCATGCTGACGTGACACAGACAATAGGGTATTACATCCATTTTCAAAAATTGTTTTAAATTAATCCTAGAGTGATAATGAACCAATAATTACTTTTAATCTATCGTTTTAAATTTTCGCGTGAAAACGCTAGCCGCCATGCTGTAGAACTCGTAAAGTCACTGTCCTCAATTTTGCAAAGGATGAAGATACTTTTTAAAGTTTAATAATGAGTTATCATCTAAATCATTGTTGTGTTGTGCCTGAATGCAAAAATACGAGCATAAGAACGCCGGGAAAGTTATGGCTTCAAGTGCCAAGTATTTATATATAAGAAATATTTGGTTAAAACTGGCAAGAAGATAACCGAATACATTGTCTACAAAAACTAGACTATTCTTCTGTGAGGATCATTTTGATGTAAGTTGACTTATATTTAACTATCGTTTAATACAAAAAAAAAACATCATGAGGTGAAGAATTTTGTAATAAATTACGTTAACTTAGATATTATAACTAATGATTGTAATTATAGATTAACTAAACTATGATAGCTACTTAACTGTGTTTTATCAAAATACACTCTGACCTGGTATTATGTTTTTGTATAAACAAAAGTTGGTAATAGGTACTTACATTGATGTTTTAATATTCCTCAACTCAGCAGAACAAAAATTGGGATTGCATGCAAAAAAAAAATTGCCACTATCAACTTATTTATCCTGGGTAGATTAGTACTTTCTGCTTTTACAAATTCGTCTTTCATGATGCCTTATCAAATAAAATTTGAAATAAAACTCAATAATCGTAATGATAACTTGAAAAATTTCGAAATAACACAGCACATTAGCTAGTTCTCTTAATTAGTGACACAGAATACTAATACCCTTAGGAGGGATCAGTGACGTCACAACTTGGTCTAATATGGCGGACAGTGTTTTACAGATTTGAGGCATAGCCAAAAAAATATTCTTAAAATAGAAATATAAAATTTATAATGCAATTTTATAAACAGAAATCAATATTTCTCGTTTACTTTTTACAAAATCTATCATAGACATTGAAGTAATATGTACTTACGTACTGGAATAGCTATCTCAAACAAAAAATGTGCGCTACTCTGTGTTCACGCGGTTGTTTTTTTATCATAGAATAAACATAAGTAGAATGACCCGTAGGTAATAGTAGATTGTATTGTTAATTAGGTAAATTATATCGAGAATAATATTTAAATTTTGTCATTTATTTTGTATATTATATTTGCTTATTTAATATAATATTACATCACAATTACATTTTAATGATATTTTTATCTGAATATTTTAAAAGGTATCTATGTCAAATAAAAAAAAACATACTAAATACTAGAAATATATTTATTTAAATTAGAATAAGAGTCGTTCATAAATGCTGGGTACGCGAGAATTAAAAATTGACGAATTTATTCCGCTTGGACTTTGATGTGGAAACCTAAAAATAAAATAAAAGAATAATAAGCAGACTTAAAAAAATGAAAAATTTAGCCCAATTATATTAACTTATATATGTTTCTACAAAAAATGTGTATAATAGTATATTCGTCCTATACTTAAGTACCCACAGAAACGTCGCATCTGAACATATTAATTTCATCAATCAATCCATTGAAGTAATATGTACTTACGTACTAGAACAGCTATTTCAAACAAAACATGTGCGCTACTCTGTGTTCGCGCGTTTGGTTTTTTATCAAAGAATAAACATAGGATCATTCTGATCCACAATTTTATTAAATTTTGTCATTTATTTTGTATATTATATTTGCTTATTTAATATAATATTACATAATATTATATCACAATTTTATTTTAATGATATTTTTATCTGAATATGTTAAAAGGTATTTATGTCAAATATAAAAAACATACTAAACGTACGTTTAACAAAACTTATTAATATAATATTTAAATTACAAATATATTTATTTAAATTAGAATAAGAGTCGTTCATTAATGCTGGGCACACGAGAATTAAAAATGGACGAATTTATTCCGCTTTGACTTTGATGTGGAAATCTAAAAATAAAATAAAAGAGTAATGAGCAGATTTAAATATAAAAAATTTAGCCTAATTATGATAACTTATATATGTTTCTACAAAAAAATGTGTATAATAATATATTCGTCCCATACTTAAGTACCTACCGAAATGTCACATCTGAACAAATTAATTTCATAATCTATATTTCATGACACGAGATGGCGTCTCAGGAATAATTTGTTTTATTATTAATCTATGATACTTTTTTTATTGATTAAGTATCTTATTAACCGATGAAAAGTAATTCCTTGGTTTTTACTGACATTTCTTGAATTATTTGTGCAATGTCTAAGTACACACGACGCCATATTTTTATCAAGAGATTTTTTTTTAAATCAACACAACACGTGACAACTCAACAAGCGCCTAGCGAGTGACTGATTAAAGTGCGGTGTATGCACCGCAGTTGAGTGGAACAGAGTAGCTGAATGCAGTGTCGCCTCTAGTACGTAGTACATAACAGCTCAATGAATCAATCTATATTATTCCATGACACGAGATGGCGTCTTAGGAATAATTTGTTTTATTATTAATTTATATTACTTTTTCTTCTTATTAACCGATGAAAAGTAATTTCTTGGTTTTTACTGATATTTCTTGAATTATTTAAGTACACACGACGGCATATTTTTATCAAGAGATTTTTTCAAATCAACACAACACGTGACAACTCTACAAGCGCCTAGCGACTGAGTGACTGATTAAAGTGCGGTGTATGCACTGCAGTTGAGTGGAACATAGTAGCTGAATGCAGTGTCGCCTCTAGTACGTAGTACATAATAGCCCACTGATCATAGATATATATTTTTTTGGTTTTATATTACATGGTGTAAAATACCCTATTTTCAATAGCGCCAAATCGTAAACAAATGACAAATTAATAAAATACATACGCAATAATATTGACAAAGAGTTCCATTTTAAAAATTTGAAATTATTTTTTTTTATTATATCGTTTACAAATGGCCAGTTCTAAAAACTTTCAGTGTCGCCCTCGTAAATAAGTACCTAAAACTGAAATTTTAACTTCTTTTAGAACGATTTTCTAGCTCTAGCCATCTCATCTAGCTCTTATCTTTCTAGCGACTAGCCATCTGCGCAGGACAGGTTTATAGAGTCCAAGTGCATGCGCACACACAGGTCGACTCTCTATACCCCTACTCTTATAGTCCGATGGGATGGTAGTCCTACACGACCGGAGAGAGATCAAGCGCAGGACCAGCGGTTCGTAGTTTTCCCAGGCACGGGGGTGAAACACTGCCAACTTCCTGACTCCAGGCTCCTAATGAGAATTTCTTGACAGAAAACCCCAGTAACTGATTTCGACTTGTCCCGGAATTTGAACTCAGGACCTCATGATTAGCAAACGTATTTTACGATCACTAGACCAACGAGGTAGTCAAAAGTAAATAGCAATTAACTATTTTGTAAGTGCGAGTGGAGATCGCTTACATTAAAACAGACATAGAATTAATAACTGAGGTACGTGACGTTAATATGGTCACACCTTAAGTTTTACCGCCCTATGAAACCGAAACTAAGATGAGGACAGAGAAACGTATACTATAACTAATATATTAAGAAAAAAAAATTTTGGCAATAATTATGAACACTTCGAAAAATCAACTAAAAAAAACTAACTACACTACACCATACTAAAATCGACTAAAATATTTACTGTCAAAATAACATCGGTAAAGCAGCGCCCTTTTATTATTTGATTGACTGATGAAGAGCTATCGTATCACAAAGTTATCTATGCATACAAGGCTGTAGTTTTTGAATACCTCACATACTATATAATAAAATTTACAAATTCAATACAATTAATTTTATTTGTTCCAGTGTTCACTAAACGTAGTACCGGAGTACAAATCCTACACATTTCAAAATGGCTTAAAACTGCAGCTACCCGTGGACATAGACGCATATCGTATGAATGCCTCTTTGGCAGTCCAACTTGCACACGCTTGGATGCGTAAAAAGTTACAGTCCCAGATAAATAACTTAAAACAAACTAATATTACTAACGGAAATGTCGAGGGAAGGGAGAGCAAACAAAATATAGGAGTTGTAGAAAATATAGTGACAAAGCTTCCAAATGAAACTATCTTGGGTTTGTCTAGCTGCAGGTGGCCGGGTCGATACCAAATTGTAAAAACCGAATATTCAACTTTCTATCTGGACGGGGCGCATACAAAGGAGTCTATGGAAATATGCGTAAAGTGGTTCAAAGACAATAATCGGTAAGGATTTAATTTCTTCTTTATTCATGTAATCTGCGGTTGATTGCCTGGTTGGCTTAGTGATCGTATACGCGGTTGCTAATCATGAGGTCCTGGGTTCGAATCCCAGGTCGAGCCAAAATCAATTATTGAGATTTTCTGTCAATTCTCAGTGGTATTCCGAAGTCAGTAAGTTGGCGGTGTTTCATCCGGTGCCTCGGAAAGCACATCAAGTCGTAGGACCTGCGCAAGATCTCTCTGCGGTTGTGTCGATTTGCCGTATCGAGAATGGGGGAATAGAGATACGAATGTGAAATTTTGCTTGCAAACACACTTATACATCATAATCCTATGCTTGCGCAATCTGGCCTATAATCTATCTATAATCAGCTGATAAGTGACCGCCAATACGGTTTTCGCCGTGGTCGGTCAGCTGGTGATCTTCTGGTCTATAACTCATAGATGGAGGAGGCAGTAGAGTCCAAGAGGGAGGCATTGGCCGTTAGTTTGGACATTGCGAAGGCCTTCGATCGGGTTTGGCACAAAGCGCTTCTTTCGAAGCTCCCTTCCTATGGGCTTCCCGAGAAATTGTGCGATTGAATCACCAGCTTTCTTGCAGATCGGAGCATCAAGGTCGTTGTAGACGGTGCAAGCTCCGATTGCAAGCCTATTAATGCTGGTGTTCCACAAGGCTGCGTGCTATCGCCAACACTGTTTCTTCTGCATATCAATGATATGTTGCAAACCCGTAACATTCATGCTATGCAGATGACAGCACTGGTGATGCTCTTTACACCGGCCGAGCCAATATTTCTCCGGCAACGTCTCCGAGTGCCGAGACAAACTTGTGTCTGAAGTCGAGTCTTTGCTGAACAGAGTCTCGGATTGGGGGCGACTAAATCTACTCCAGTTTAACCCCCAGAAGACACAAGTTTGCGCGTTAACCGCTAAAAAGAACCCCTTTGTCGTATCTCCTCAGTTTCAAGGCACTCCCCCTTGTTGCCTCAGCCAGTATCGTAATCCTCGGCGTCGACATATCGAGTGACGTGCAGTTTCATGTTCACTTGGAAGAGAAGGCCAAATTGGCCTCTAAAAAGCTTGGCGTGCTCAGCAGAGCGGGACAGTATTTCATGCCGGCACACCGCCTGCGACTTTACAAGGCGCAGGTTCGGCTGCACATGGAATACTGTTCCCATCTCTGGGCTGGGGCTCCCCAGTACCAGCTCCTTCCACTTGACCGCATCCAGCGCAGAGCGGCTCGAATCGTCGACGACCGAGTGCTTTCCGATCGGTTCGATTCACTGGCACTGCGAAGAGATGTTGCATCTCTTTGCATTTTATTTCGCATATACCATGGAGAGTGCTCTGAGGAATTGTTCGGATTAATCCCAGTCGCCAAATTTCGTAAACGCACTACGCGGCAAACGTCCCGATACCATCCACACCATCTGGATGCTTGGCGGTCCACCACAGTACGTTTCAAAAGGAGTTTTCTTCCGCGTACAACCTCTCTGTGGAATAGTTTACCACTGGCGATTTTTCCGGACCGATACGACCTGGGGACCTTCAAGAAAAGAGCTTACTCCTTTCTAAAGGGCCGGCAACGCACCTGCAATTCCCCTGGTGTTGCGGTTGATCATGAGCGGCGGTAGTCACTTAACATCAGGTGAGCCGCATGCTCGTTTGCCCCCTCTTCTATAAAAAAAAATCCTGTCCTGCGCAGAGAGCAAGTCCCGTTGACACTGGCTGCCGTTACTGAGACACTGACCGCTGTGACTGAAATTCGGTCTGGAGGACATTATTAAAATGCATATCAACATTAAAAAATACCAAGTACAAAAATGGGTTCGATCCGAGAGGCCCACACTACAAATTTCCCAGTAGGTAGGTAATCTCTTAAAAATAACTAGAATATAAAATAGGTAGATAAGTATACTTAAATGATTTTTACATAATAACCGATGGACCGATTTGCATAAAAACTTAATTCCATGTTAATTACGTAATGAAAATGTGCGACATAGATTTCACACTATTATTTGTTCTCGATTTGTGCAAAGCGATAACTATTTATACTTACACGGACATCTACCTAAAACCATACCATTCCACTTTTGGGAACTTGACTTGAGAGATACCTTAAAATTTAGATTGGAAAATGTGACTCATTAATAACTTCCGGGTTCGATCCCAACCGTCACCAATGAAATTATTAATGGCAATTTTAAGTGCTGATTTACCACGTGCTCGGCGGTGAAGTTAAACATTATGAGGAAACCTGCATGTCTGAGAAATAAGAAAAAAATATTTCGAAGACATGTGAAGTTCGCCAACTTGCATTGGGGCAACGCGACAGACATTTCCTTGCCCTACTAAAACATTCTCACAAATGAGAGGAGGCCTGTGGCCATTAGTGGGACGTATACAGGCTTTACTTAACTTTAATTTTTAACTATAATAAGTTGCTACTAGGAAGTTAATAACAGGCTGCGAAGCATTACACTCAGAAGATAAATGTCTAACTTTAAAACTAAACATAGATATTTAGTTTTAGACATTTGTTTGAGTTAGTGAAACTGCTGCAGTTTGAGGGCTATGGACTACAGTAGTCACAATCAGTTACATGTATGTAACCATGTAAAGGTACATGTTACTTTACTGTTAAAACACCCGAAATAGCCAAAAGGTAAGCTGAAGTGGCAATTTACCAGACATATCGCTCGAAGAACCGAACTCAGATAAAGAAAGGTTTTAGAGTGGCAGTCATGACTGCTAAGCGAAGTGTAGACATGCAGAAAGTTGGTGGATGCAGGTGGCGCAGAAACGTGCTGTAGATAGCAGTAGACACGTGATGGGCTGTGATGATGATGATGATGTTTTAAAAATATTTTTGTTTGCGATAGTAATTGCTCACAGTTGCAACCCCATGTTTGCCATAGTTACCAAGCTTGGTAAGCGGGTTGGCCACCGCAGTTTTTTACATTTTGCTGCTTATCTCCTGTCGCAGTTTTCATCGATAGTGACGACCTGGTAAGGTATGCAGGAAGTGGATATATGCAGGTGGCTCGGGACCATGCTTTGTGGCATTCCTTGGAGGAGGCCTATGATTAGCAGTGGACTTGTAAAGGGCTGTAATGATGATGATAGCAATTGACCATTCAAGGGGAACAAAATTTTATATCCAGTGTTCCTAGAGAGCCGTGGTAACTTAGTCCTACTGCAGTCCATGAACAAGCTGAAACTGTAAGTGGAGTCATGTCATCCCGCCAGCACCAACGAAATTGCAAATTGAAATTTAAGTGTTAATTCATTATATGCTGCACAGTGGGAGAAAACATCGTAAGAAACTTAATATCTGAGAAATTATAAAAAAATCACACACGCACACTGATAGGATCCTATTGCATCATATATACGATCTTAAAGAAAATATGGGCATAATTCAGACTGTGAGCCATTGATGCTGGGATTTTTTTATAACAGAAGGGTGACAAACCAGCACACAGTCAACCTGATGGTATTTGGTTGCTGTAGGCCCATAGACATCCACATCTATCCTCGATTACGAATCAAAATGCAAATGCGTTGTCATCAGTGAGGACTAAGATGGAATGCCTCTTTTCCAATAAAAAGGGTCTCCGGTTCTCTACACTCACCATACGAAACACAGCAGCGTTAAGCTGCTATTTTACGTTGGTATTCTGTATTACTAATATAGCTGCAGTAGTATGGCTCTACCACGTAAAAAATGTTATCATAATTATGCTGAAGATTAAGTAAGATCTCGTTTAAGCTTCGCCATTTGGCCTGGCTTCACGCATCCATCTCCTACCAGCCCCCTTGCACATATCGTCACTCCATCAGCTAGGGAGCGCCACTCACTACGTTTACCTTAGCGCCACCGCTATCCATTGCCATTCAGTTTGCAAATACGGAGGGTTATATCGGTGACCTTGGTTCTAAGAGTCTTTTACACCAGTAGAACCAAATTCACCTAGGCAGCAGCTCTTTATCCAACTACTGACCAATACCATAGCTATTTCTAAATCTTCATTCTTAATTATGTGAGTGCTATCTTCGCTTAAACGCGGTAAGAAAATTCAACAGAATCTATGGATCAAAGGTCTGGCGTCCACGTGGAGGATCATCACTAGGCGCTATTGGTATTGAACCGTGTTTCCTATTCCTATTGTGATTTTTTGTTTACTGGTGTACGTAATACACTAATAATTAACACGCACAGTGCATGCGCTTTAGAAACGACGACCCCACAAAGAGGTGAAAAAAGAGAAGGGGATCCTGTTGCAGAGGAATAAGTAGAGAAGAAATCGCTAAATCGAGGCAGAATTGTGGAAGGGGTAGGTGAATAGAGAGAAGAGTCATAGCGTAGAAAAGCATATTTTCGAGATTTTTTTAAATATATCATGTAGGTTCCTAAATCCTACAAAGAGTACATTGCTGAACACTGGTCTTCCTCATAGAATGCATCAAAGATCTTAGAGGTAGTGGCGACAAGATTATGTGGAGTCTGAGTTGGCTGATTTGGTGTTTTCAAGGCTACATATATATATATTATTTATATATATATATTTTTTTTTTTTTTTTTTTTTTATGATAGGGAATGAATATAATGAAACTAATAAATAAAATTCTCACACGTAGTTTATTGCTTTAACCAGCTCTTCAAAACAACTCGGGCATCACTGTACCGTCATAAATATCACTCTACATGATCACAGTAACGACACGCAGTAAATAACAAACAAGATGGCGGACATGGTTTAAGGCAAATACATTCAGTTTCACTATCTTGCTATATATATCAATTGGCAAACACCACTACTTTGTTTGTATTATTTAGCAAACACCATTTTTACATTTGACATTTTTCATTTGCATTTAGTTGTGTTTTATGGTATAATTTGTTTACATGTTTGTACTTTTTTTTGATTATACTTAACTCAAAAACTAAGTATTTCCACATTTTGCTATTTTGGTATATTAAATACATTTTTATTAAAACTTTCTACAATAGAAATATGAATCCAATATTTGTGGTTGCTCCTAAAACGCTAAGCCATTTTTACAACTGAAAGCAAATAAGAAAGTAGTCCCTGAGAACACTCAGAGACTACTTTCTTATTTGGTCTGACGAGAGGTCGCCACATACATGACTAAGAGGTTGTCAACAAAGTTGAGGAGCTTGGAATTTTTAAAAAATTTTACTGCCCACACTTAAAATATGCACTGTGATGTGGTTTTTGCAGAAAAATAACCCATTGCAAACTAACAAAAAATATAATAAGAAATTGAGTCCATCAACATGCATGCATAGCTACAAATTATTTCTTGCTCCAATATCAATAATGCAAAGTAACATAATATGTAGCTTAGTCCTACTGCAGCGAATGAACTCTCACAACTAATTTCATTAACTCTACATTGTTTTTTTGTAAATCTTTATATACATATATGACTGCCCAGTTGGTCTGATGGTTGTAGTAGTGGGACTGCTGATCACGAAATCCCAGGTTTGAATCCTGGGTCAGGCCTAAAAAAATCGGTTGAGTTTTTCCATCAAGAAATCCTCAGTACCTAGCTGTCTGGAGTCAAGAAGTTGGCAAAGTGTTTCACCCCCGTGCCTTGGAAAGCATGTAAAGCCGTTTGGTCCTGCACCTGAGCTCTCTCCAGTTGTGTCCTTTTACAGTCCCATCGGACTATGAGAGTAAGGGAATAAAGAGTGCACCTGTGCTTGACACACTTGGGCACTATAATCCTATCCTACGCCGATGGCTAGTTCCGTTGAGGCTTGGTAGCTGTGACTGAAATTCTAGAGAACATTATTATATACATACTTATTATCTGATTTAGCATACATATTTGTACATTTTTTCATACATTTCTTTTATCAAATTGATAGCAGAAAGGCATTACAAAGTATGTATGATATATAGATTTTAACAATAATAACATTTATAGTGGTACTTTATTAAGTACTTTACTAACTTATTAACTACTAGGATTCTGTAGTTAGTTGAGTTTCATTTACATTTAAAAGTCTATCAATATCTGTAAGCCATGATATTAATCTGTCTAAGTAGCCCCCATCTTGCTTGTAACTTAAAAGTAGAAGCTGTAAATGTTGAAAAGCCGTGGGTTGCCCCAGCAAATAGTGAAGTCTCTGATCTCTAAGGGATAACAGTTTTATAAACACTATTGCAATCAAAGTCCACTGAATAGGCTTAAACATAATGTTATTTGCTTTTAGTTTAAATGTATTTACAAGTAACCTTACATCTGAGCTGATTGTTAATGTGGATAAGTTTAGCGATCTTAGTAATTCGGGAAGAACTTTATTTAAATGCTCACAAACAATCCGTCTACGTAATGCATTTTGTGCATTTTTATGCACTAGAGGCAGCTGAGTTGTGCTACCTTCTTTTTCTGGGGGTTCTGGCTTCATGCTCTCACTTTCATCTGTAACAGGGATTTCTGTCTCACCAGAGAGAAAAGCTTTCACTTTCAACTTCATTTTCTTACTTTCCTCTTGTAATACAGAATAGTTGGGCAATGGCTTCATCTCCCGTTGCATGGTTTGAGCATCAAACTTTCTATCTTCCAACTCTAACATATGTAGTTTACGGCATAAAGCTTGGTATTGATCATATGTATTTGAATTGTAAAATATGCTCTGTGCATAATTGTTTATGTACTCTTTTATGTGTTCTCCCTTATTTGCAACCATTTCTTTAACTCTTTCTTCACCAAATATAAAAATCATAGTGTCAACTGTAAACCATTCTGCTAAACATTTCTCCACTTCAATTGCTATTGCAATGACTGATGGTTGCTTCCTCTGCAAAGGTTTCTTAACAGATCCAGCCTCTTTTGTTATTTCCAATTTTTTAAGATTGTCTATGAGGATAGGGTCTATTCTTCTTTCCGGTCTTTCTATTATTTCACCTACTATATTTAAAGAATTTGGTGTTATTTTATGCTGTTTTGATTTGATGTCTACCTTATCTTTCACTTGGCTGATTTCTTTACCAATCATTTCATTAAAATTATCATTACAGGTACTTGTATCTGATTTTATATTTTCTTCTTTAATTTTATCAATACTTTCATTAAGTTCTGATTGTATGTCCATTTGTTCACACTTAGATTTAGGGTCCTGGTTATTTGTATGCAGTGTATGATTAGGAGAAGTTGAGTCTTTATCATTACTGGTATGCCCTATATTGTGCAGACTTGCACTCGTAAAATCATTAATTGATGTAAATGTGGGTATTTCAGGCTTTATTTTCGCTGGTTCAATCAAAGCTAGGTCTACCTCTTGTCCTAGAATACCAACCGTATCCTGTGGCAATAAATAAAATTGGGGAATTTCCTCATATTCTCTAAACCATAAGGGGCTTGTCAACATTTGCTTTTTAACATGCATTGCAGATTTGTAACAACTATTGCTACAAAAACTTTTTCGGGTCGTTATATCGTATACTTTGTTAGTTTTTATCGATATGCGATACTTCTGTTTTGGAATATCTTTTTCCAGTAATGTCTTTTGGCATAATGGGTAGCCACATAGGTGTATTATGCACCGCTCTTCTATGACATCCTCGAAGTGACATTGATTTATCTCTGGTAAGCACTGCAGAAAATACGTTTCCGTGATACCGTTTTCCAGTAAGCTTTCGACAATTTTTTGAGCTTTGGCACTACATTCTTGTTTTTTTATAATAGCTTGCCGAATTTGCTCTTTTGTCATTTCTTCAATCTTGGTCGGCTTTTTCCGTTGTTTTTTAAGAGTTTCCGCCATGTTATAAAAAATTATAGTTCGGAGTAAATACTAAAACAATGTTCTCTTATTATTTTTACAGTAAAAACACTAAATCAAATATTTAGGCAATACAATAAATATTTTGTGACAATGACAATCAACAATGTCATAGTCATTTTGACACTGACATCAACTTCGTATTTCTTAACTCTGGGTTCTAGCTTTTCTGAGCTTATCATTTAATTCGGGATCTTTATTTTTATAGAATTTTTTCTTCACAATATACCTAATTATAACTTTTTAAAGTTTTCGAATCGAATATTTGCAATGCTTCATTTTTTGCATTTCTAAATCAAATGATGATTTGATTTAGAAAACAATTTAATAATAATAAGTCTCGTCCAATTTAAATAATATTTTTGGACACAATAACGTAATAAAAATAAATAACCAAAAAAAACAAGTATATCGATGTCGATTGTTGCTTACATTGCGAACGAAATCACTAAATTAAATACGCCATATCTTGTGAAATAACGTTACATATAATAGTACTACAATAGGAATGTCATTTTGCTAGTAAATCAGAAGATACAAGTGTATTTACTCTCATATTTAGCATAGTATAAAGAGACCAAAGATGACCACTTGATATTTCTATTTCCACGCATGAATTATACGCAACATCTTTCAATAGATTTGTCTCTTTTTGCCTTATTGGAAAATTAAACTATAAAAAGCAAGACAAGTATATTGACTCAATTTATGTAGAATTGTAGGGTCTCTGTATGAATACGTATGTTTGTATTTACTCGAAGATTCTTCTATCTTCGAATAATTTTATCGATTTATTGTTTATCGACATTTTTACATAATGAAAGTTAGATTTCTGTACTAAATCATGTATGAGAAACTATCTGGTAACGGCGCGTTGCTGCCGCCTAAAAACTTATTATCCAATTATCATTTTAAATTTGGAAGTATTATATTGTTTAATTAGGAATGATAATGATGATGATATCATATGATAACTTTCAAATATATTTGTCGGTAAGATACGTAAGTTAATTGTACTGTGCTTATAACCTTCGCGGAAGTGCAAGCAATAAGATGATAAAGTTTTACCGCAATCTGATGAACGGAATGGCAGCGCATAAAATACGAACAAACATTAATTTTAAAATATTATTAGATTAGATTATTAGATAAATAAAATATTATAAAAGTTTTAACGTGGCGATTGATTAGGATAAAAAAATCAAGCTATTATACACACATCGATTTTTTAATATAGTTCTATAATTACTAGGTACAAAATTGAGTATAAAAAATGCATAATTATGTTAGTAATTAAATAAGTAAAAAGCTAAGCTGCGACACTGCAGGATAGAGGGTTCGGTCTTGCAGCTTTGATTTTGCTTACTGTACCCCTGGAGATGATAATACCGCCTACTAAGTAAGCCACCAGATCTTTCTAATCGGATTGACTTAAAGATATATAAGTTATAATATGTTTATATTCCGTTATTAGTTTAATTATTTATTTATTATTTCAGAGACATGGTACATTAAGTTGTTTCGTTATAACTTTTACGATCATTTACATGTCCTTCCGATATCGGTGTAGAAATACTACTGTTACTAGTTCAATTTAATGATGAATGCCAACCATAACGTAATAAAAGTGTTTATGTGTTATAAACTTCGATCAAAAATACCAACTAGATAATGGGTCACGTAAAAAAATCATAGCTAAATACTTTCCGCGTGAATATATACTTTTAACAACTACATTTGTTTATTAAAGAAATGAGACAAAAATAAAAATAATTTTAAGTTCAATCTAATTACAACCATGGCATCTAGTAATAAAATCACAAATGTTACAATAATTAGTCATAAAAAAAGAACAAACAATATTCCTGCCATTTGGAAATGAAAAGGCATAGGTTAAATAATATTTAGTGTGAAATCAACCTCCATCACCAAGATATAACAAATAAAGTACTTTATCTCGTTATTGCCTTGCGAGCTGCGTCGTTTTATTGTTTCTGTTTTCTTTTTCGAATTTGGTCCATGAAGTATGGAGTCACGTTGAACACTAAAATAATTTATAAAATGATCGTAAGTTTATTTAAAATTATTTTTATGTTTTGGGCATTTATGATTATTGTATAGATACTTTCCACACTAGCTATTAAATATAATATAGTATGTAGCATATTGATTGCATTGCAGATTGCAATTCACTAATTCAGTACAAATCTATTTTAGTTTTGTATATATATATATATATATATATATGATATATATATATATATATATATATATATATATATATATATATATATATATGTGTGTGTGTGTTTGTAGTTTATGTATGTATATATGTATATTATATCATTACAAATATGTGTATTCATTTCTTTATATTTATTAATCTTTATAATTCAAGTACATTTCAGTGCAATCAATAAATCAAAATATTTATAACAGAAACAGATACTGCACACTTAAACGGATTGCTAGGAAAACTAAAATAAAAAAGCTGGTGCAAGCTGGAATTACACAGAGACAAAAGTAACAATAACCATTATTTAAACTTTTGGTAACAAATTATTAACAATTGTTAACAATACAAATCTACTCCATGCATCTATGTTCTGTTTCACAAATGTTTGCGTGTATTGGCCATCCTTGGCAAAACATTTGTAGGGGTGGTTTTAATCGGTAATATTGTTTCAAATATGATATTATTTGTTAGTTTAGGGCTTAAAATATAACATATTATACATGTACTTATCGAAAGTAAGACACTGCGGCCGTTAAATTGCTTTTTCGGCCATTATTCTTGCAACTTTTAAATACACATTATGGCACTGTGAAACGTGTTTACATTGGCTGTGTTTCAAGTGAACTAAACGTAATAAGAGCTCACGTCTCATGTGCGCTCTTATTTACTAAGACGTATTTTTTGCACCTACCTGGCATCCAGTTGGTATTGTTGATCGAAGGTTATAAATATCAATATAGCCAGAAAATAATTTATGCGTAACTCAACTTCGTGTTTAGTGAGTTAACAAGAAGGTTTTATTTCCACCGTGGCCTACCTGATTTAGTCCTATTTTACACTTCATTTACCTCTTGTTTTGTTTCAGGTATAACGAAAAGCACCTGATATTTAGTTCAACAGGTGATAGAGACGCTGAGATTTTATTGAAACCTTTGACAGACGTAGATTTTAAGATGGTATATTTTGTTATTCCAACTGCGTTTAAAGAAATGAGTAAAAAAAATGATAATTATTCTACTATTGAACACAGAGACCTAATAGCAAGATGTAACAAATCTGCTGAAATTTGGAACAGGCTTCAAGAAATATCTAAACACCATAAAGTAATGGTATTCGAATGTGTTTCGGATGCAATAAATTATGTTAAAGAAAGTGAAGAAAACAAATCAGTTTTGATTACAGGGTCTTTACATTTAGTTGGAGCATCACTTTCCATTATTAATTCTAATATAAGTAAAGATTAGTATTTATATAGATAGTACGTATATATGAAATGAATTTATTATTTAATCTTAAATTAATATAAATAAATAAATTTAAATAAATTTTTAATTTTTAGTTGTCATTCACTATTGGTAAAATGCCAAATTCTTATTTTTCTATAAATTTACGATTGGTTATCAGTAGCAGCTTGCAAGAAATGAAATCAAAATTTCATATTTTCGAATCGAACTTTTACGTTAATTGTATTAAGTAAAAGTTTATAGGTAGGTAGATGTGGCAGTTCCTAGGCGCAATACACATGTATAAGCCAAAATCACGCTACCAAAATAACCGAGCTACTCCGGTATATTTAGGGAAGCTCCGTAATAACACAGAACACTAGATGCTACGTGGGCTGAAAACCTTTTTTTTAAACGTTACCCCTACACTAGGATTTTCTCCTGTATCGTGGGGGCAGTTTACAAACATAAATTGCGCAAGGGCAAACATGCCAGACCCGGAACAATTATTTGTAGGCCATACAAATATACTTGTTCCGTGCGGGATTCGAACCCGTGACCCCCAGCGCAGCCACTCTAAGCCACTGCGCCCCGGAGTCGTCGATCCTTATCCTTCCCAGCGGTCACCTTACCCAGCGATCTCCCTTTTCGTTTGTCGGCCAAATAATGATCCTGAAATAATTTAAACAACCCTTTTTTCAACCGACTTAAAAAAGGAGGAGGTTCTCAATTCGACTTTTTTTTTAATAAATGTTAACTCTGGCTTTTTTCTAGGGGAATCGATTTTAATGATTATTTTTTGTTTGAAAGCTGGTGCTTCTCATTTGTTTACATATAAATTTGATCACGATCTGACCAGTTGTTTTTGAGTTGTCCTCAATAATGCTTATTTATTATATTGACTTCTATTACATTGATGATGTTCTCATTTTATTTATTTTATAGTCGGTTGTATAATTTTTTTTAATTTTACCACTTGTTATAGAATAAGGGTGGTGAACAAGCACGCAGTACACTTAATAATAAGTGGATTCTGTGGTCCATAGATATCTCTACATCTATCTTCAATTAAGACTCAAAATGCAGATGGGTTGTACCACTGAGGACTAAGATACAATACCTCCCTACCAATAAAAACGCCCGTTCTATCCACCATACGAAACACAGCAGCATTATTCTATCGTTTCAAGTTGGTATTCTGTGAAAGCGTGGCATTTCCACAGTCAAGCAGCGTCGATCATGGTGTAGACATAATATAGTTGCAACATGGTTCTAGCAAGTATAAAATGATCTACAGCTACAGTCTATGAAAATTTTAATTTCAAGCATTCATCATCGCCCTCATTATCATCATTATTACAGCCCTTTATAACCCCACCGCTGAAAATAACAGCCTCCACAAAAGAATGCCACAAAGCACGGTTGTAAGCAACCGCCATCCTTCGACTATCCGCATATCTTACCAGATCTTCACTCCATATAGTGGGAGGCCTCCATTCTAAAGGAATATGGATGTACAGATTGTCCGGTAATGAATGTATAACTTTTAAAATAACATTAATAGATCATATGATCGTCACACAGATACGATTTTATAGAAAAAAAAAAACTAACTTTTTTACCTTATTTGACATTCTTTTTCACCATGACCACAATAGTTCTGTCGGTTATTGGTTGTTATAATATTGTACGTTGCCTATGCCGACAAAAAAGTAGTAAATAGTGTGACTAACATATGCGTAAAAAACAAGAATTGTTTATTTAGTGTATAATTTACGATTTTTTTTATTTTGATAATGTTTGACAATCTTGGGTGTAAAATAATGCATGAAAACATAAGTAATCAATTAATATAAAAGAATGTGTGTTTAAAGCAGATCTTAAAATGGTATAATTCACAATTATATCTAATGTCAGTAGCCAATTAATGTGCAAAATGTGTGAAAATAGTTAGATGTATGTTATTGGACCAATAGTATATCCTTTATTAAGTTAGATTGCACTTGTCACAGTTTTTGAGGATTGACAGCTTTGATAAAGTTTCTGTCGTGTGATAATTTATCCAAGGTTGACTGGAACGGTTGAAAAGGTTTATAATAAGTTCGATAATTTATTATTGCTCCAATTTTATCATTTAATTTTGCAATGTTATGTATTAAGTACCTGCGTATGTGAATGAGAGCATCCACGATTTTTTAGCACCAGGGCAGCACCACTTTGTAATGAGGTGAAATATTTTACAGATTTCATAGCGAAAAAGATAATTTGTTACAAAAATGGAATAAACCAAATTATGGATATAATAACTATAAGTAGAAAAATGTAAAAAAAAGTTAAAAGTATTTAAAACTAAATTACAAAATAACTGAAATTATGTTACAAAAAATATTACCTCAGTTACAACTAGCGATATCTGGTGAGTGGAAGATTATTAGCACAAACTAATAAGTATTGCTAGTGCAATTATTAGCCTACATTTGAACGATAGAACGAGTTAGTACTCCGATATTGATTTAAACCTATAGTAAAATTATTTTGTCTGCAGTTTGGGTCATAAATTATAGTTCGGCCTCAGCCGGGCTAGGGCGGTGAGCATGTTACGCGGGCGCAACGCCATTATCGATAAAAACAAATGAATCATTGAACGCAGGTACACGGCGGCGGTGCGGTATGCAAAGGGTGGTGCGACATTGTTATATTATGAGTAATTTGTTTTCCATTATTTCCCCCGCCAAAACGGCAGAATTTATTCAAAATAATATTTTGCCTGTTGGCACCAATATACAAGCACAAGCACGTGTTGTTATCAACAATGTTATAACATTTTTCACTGAAATGAAAATAGATCACGAAAAGTTACAAAGTGTTAATTTCTGCTGTTCTGGTAAACTTGCTGTGGCAATATGTGGTGTGAGTGTTACTCACACCACACCGCCGCAGCAAGCGGTCGACAAAATAAAAAAGGGTGTATAAATGGAGAAGTTAGCTCTCCGCGAGAAACCGTCTATCGGCCTTGTACCGTAACTGCGTTAGACGACTTTAACAAAAGTGTAATTAAACAAATTGTCATCGTTTTTTCACGACGGTGAATGTCCTTCTACGCCTAAAATTTTGAGTACAGCAAAAGAAAGAGTTGACAGATTCCGGTGTTCTATTTCTTCTATGCGTAAAATACTCATAGAACTTGGGTACAAGTACACACAAGCTCCAGATGGTCGTAAACAATTGATGGAAAGGACTGACATCGTTTGTGCGCGGCTACAATTCCTGAGAAAACTTAAAACCCTGAGAGATAGTGAAGACACTCGAACAAGAATTTTTTTTATAAAGTGAATTTTAAGATTCCTTAAGAATATTGTCATCGACTAGCTAGCTCGGTATCAGTAGCTTGTACCGTTGAAATTTCCCAAAACCTCTGAGCAAAAACTTCACAATGTGACACATCAACAAATTAATTTTATAAGCTAATTTCTTAATACCTCACTCGCAAAAGCACAAAGACAACTTTTCGGTCACAAAGGCGCAATTATGTGAAATTTTAGTTGATTTATTGGGAACGGATGTTAATTGTTATGAAAATGTAAGGATTAATATTTCTTTCTAAATTCAATTAGTCATTTCTTATTTATAAACCGAACTACGGATATTCCCAAAAGTGCAAAAATAAAGAGATGACGCAACCTCTAGTAATCGGATTGCCGACGTCATTTTCATACGGATTTTAGTGGCGAGTGGTACGTGTTGACGTGTTGTTTGTGAGATAATGGAAGAAAACGAAGAAGAAACTAGCGTAATTGCTTGTTTGTTAGCTGAAGAACAGGAAATAAAAGCTAAATACTCTAGAAAAAGGAAACATAATATCTGAGTACACGATATTTTCAAGAAAAGATCGCAACATGGAAAATATCACACACTGTTTCCTGATTTGCTAAACGATGATGCCAAATTCTTCCAATATTTTCGCATGACTCAAGTTAAATTTAATACTCTTGTTGACATCCTGAAACCACATTTATTAAGACAGAATACAGCATACAGGGAGGCTATACGACCAGAAGAAAGGCTTGCTGTGTGTGTAAGGTAATTATTTATTAAAATTAAACATCGGTTACATATAGGTAGTTAGGTTAGGCACTTATTTAAGACGTAAATATTGGCCGAGTGTCACATTATTTTTATCTTCTAAAATGGATTGGCTAGTGTCAGGTGGAGACATCATTGGCCTTTCGTTGGGTGTAGATGACCGAGAATACACTGTCGAAGGTTCCAGAGGCAGAATGTGAAGAGTTTCGTTCATAGCAGGTGCAGCAAACATCGTTGTATTTGAAGAAGCCGATTGAGGAAACATTGAATTCGAACCAGTCGGTGCCGGACTAAGCATTACATTTGAAACTATTCTCACGTTAGAACCAGATGTCGAAGGGTCAGAAACACGATCTATTGGAGTAGTCGCAAGCCTCATCTCTACGTTGTTAATCATTTCAAATAATTGAGCTTTAATGTTAACTTGGTCTTGTGAATGAAGAGTCTTTACTGTTTTTGCCATATTTATGAAAAAATCGAGAAGAGGATCGCTCTGGTTTCTAGTTTCGGCCGTCCTTGTTAAGTAATCTTGTAGAACGCTGGCTGCAGTTGGGCCTTGTGAAGCTGTGAAGTTGCGAAGCTCGATTTCTTACGGATAATCCGTGATGATCCCAAGGATTGCATGGGTTGTTCACTGTGTGCATCGCTTGATACATATCTGGATAACCTAATTCATTCAGTGACTCAAGTTGTGTTTCTTCATTATTGTTGGCACTTCTAGGTGATAGGTTTGAACGCCGTTCTTCTTCATCGTTTAGATACGGTATTAGAAAAGAAAGTTTTTGTGAGAATTTAGGAGCTTTTATCTTGGCCGCTTTTTGTCCAGCGCAAATTCAAAGCATTCCTATGGTTATCTCTAATTCTGGTCCATCGTTTCTTGCATGCATTACCTGTAAAAATAAATAAATACCTAAATATATGTTTTTGTTTCAGATTCTTAGCCACTGGGAACTCTTTTCGATCACTGTCGTTTTCCTTCAGGATTGGTGAACAGACAGTGCGAAGAATTGTGTATTCCACCTGCGAAGCCATTATTCAACACCTACAGCCCATAGTAATGCGAAAACCTACTGAAGAGTTGTGGATTAAATCAGAAAAAGGTTTTCATAAAAAATGGAATTATCCCAACGCGATCGCTGCTATTGATGGAAAACACGTGCTTATTCAGGCACCACCACACAGTGGCTCAAATTACTTTTGCTATAAAAAATACTTTAGTATTGTTAGCCTTAGTCGACGCAAATTATAAATTCATAGTAGTAGATGTCGGTGCTTTTGGTAATAACTCTGATGCTAGTATTTTGAGAAATTCGAGTTTAGGCAAAGGTTTACAGGACGGCACTTTAAACATACCTCCACATAAGATCCCACAAGGATCTTTTACCTCACGTCATCGTCGGTGATGAGGCTTTTCCATTATGCACGTATTTAATGCGACCATATTCTCGCGACGATGTCCAAAGAGATGAAGAAAAAAAGTATTTAACTACAGGCTCAGTCGTGCGAGAAATACTGTAGAAAATAAGTTTGGGATATTGGCAAGAAAATTTAGAATTTTTGAACGAAGATTGTCTATGCACGAAGAACATATTGTGACTGTTGTAATGGCTACATGCTGTTTGCACAACTTTCTAAGAGATGACACATGCTACTGGACAGAAAATGATTTAAACATTTCTCTTGCGGAAATGTCAGGGCTACAAAATACGAAACATGGTGGTAGAGTTTTCAGGGATAACTTCAAAAAATACTTCAACTCAGAAGTAGGGTCGGTTGAGTGGCAATTAAGAAGAGTTCGGAGTGGAAGGCACGAAAATGTATAACAAGCAAAATAAACATAACCTACAAACTTACCGCTTTTATTTAATCTTCGTCCAATTTCTTCCCAGATATTGTCCCTCCTTTGTTGGTTAGAATAAAAAGGGTGTCTTAAATTATATAACTCTTCATACTCTTGCACGACTGCAATTAGTTGTGCGGCGTCCATGATGCAACAACGCATGTGGATGCGACGATCATCAAATGCAAATGGCGGGCGACCAGCGACGCGGAGCGAGCGCGCGCGCTGTGCGTCCACTGATCGACATTCCGTATGACGTCATCGGCACGCGTCGCGAAAGTTGCCCCTCGTAGCATGAGCGTCGGCATTGCCGACAAGCAGATCTATGCGATCAGTACGATGCGGATTGGTGGACGCACTTGTATGACTTTCTATACAAAGAATACTACGATCCGTATGATGCGATGTGTGCGATGCGTGTGATGCCAATAGGTGGACGCTTACCTTTAGGCAAATATTCTATAAAGTGACAAATGGGCAAGTTCACAATTTTAATAACATTGTTTATTAAAAAAAATCACTTCGTTGGGCGGAAGATTTTTAGCCTTCATTGTACGAGTTTATTACTAAAGAAAAAGAAAAAATCTCTGTGGAATTCAAGAATGTCAACAAGACAGATGATTACTCGAGAAAATGACAATTGACAAATTGTCATTGTTCATTGACATTTGACGATTGACAATTTCTAATGCAGAAAATCAGATTTTGTTTATCTATTATTAGTTTTACTTTGGTATGGACCTTGGGCTTTCCTTTTGTGATTGAAATAGTTTCTAATATAGTAGTTTCACGATTAAATTGTATGGAAAAACTTTTCCTTCAATTTTAATAGGATAAAATTACTGATGTGATTTTACAATCGCGTTTTAGTTGATGTATGTATTATCATGTTTTATTAATTATTAGTCCTCCAAAGTGATTAATTAATATATTTACGTTTTCATTATTTATCTCTCTGATAACTATGCTGCTATCACATTGCATAGAAGGCAACGTTTTGTAAACAGATACGATGGGCATATAAAAGAGCTCATAAAGCAAAGGGACGTTTTTGTATAAAGGTAAGACTATTTTTTAGTGTTATTTAAAATTCAGTCGCTATAGTAAAAATACGAATTCGAATGATTTGATTGTCACTAATACTGAACTTTTTTTTTCTTCCACATAATAACTACAAGTGGGGATAAGTTTCTTTTTTAATTTAATTTATTTTGAAAGCAGCTTACTGTATAATTTTATGTTATCTACGAGGGGTGATCCAAAAGTAATGATAATCGGTTACTTCAGGTCCGCATAAAAATCCAAAAAAAATTTTTTTTGCTTGCTTATATACTCACTACGTCAGCCTAAAAAATTAAATAGATCACGATTTCCGGGAGATACATTCATTTGAATACGAACTGTCAAAGAGATAACATCAACATGGATAAAAACGAAATTAGAGCTGTCATCATGTACCTCTGTTTGAAAAAAATGTCTTCAAAAGACATTTTCACACAGTGACTTAGTGGAAACATTGGGGGACTCTGTTCCTCCATATTCTACAGTTGCACGCTGGGCCAAGGAGTTTAAACAGGGCAGAACATCCACTGAAGATGAACATCGCGAAGGAGGCCCATCCACATCCCTCACTGAAGACAATGTGAAAAAAGTCGAAGATGTTGTGTTGGCAGATCGAAGAGTGACCATCAGTCATGTAGGTGAGGTCACAGGGATCTCATATGGCAGCATTCAAAGAATCCTTGCGAACGAGTTGCATATGAAAAAGGTCTCTGCGCGTTGGGTACCCAGAATGTTAACCGACGAGCAAAAGAAAAATCGAGTTGACATTTCGAGGGTCAATCTCGAAAAGTTCCAAGCAGATCAAGTAAAATTTTTGTTCCGTTTTGTGACTATGGACGAGACCTGGATACACCATTTTGATCCTGAAACGAAACAACAATCGATAACTTGGAAGCGAGCCTCCTCACCGACGCCAAAGAAATTCAAAGTTTCAAGTTCGGCGGGAAAGGTTATGGCATCTGTTTTCTGGGACGCTCAAGGCTTAATTATGGTGAAATATTTGGAAAAGGGAGCCACTATTACGGGCTCTTACTATGCAGACCAAATAAGAAGATTATGGGAGGCCATTAAGGAAAAAAGACGTGGCAAATAGCGAGCTGGAGTGCTGTTTCACCAAGGCAACGCACCGGCTCACAAAGCCGCAGTTGCGATGGCTGCCATTCAAGAAACGGGATTCGAACTACTCGAAGACCCTCCCTATTTGTCAGATCTAGCTCCTAGTGACTTCTACCTCTTTCCTCGGCTCAAAGAACACCTCCGAGGCAAGAAATTCGGAGACGATAGTGAAGTAATGGCCGCTGTTGAAGCGTTTTGGGAGGGTCAAGACAAAGAATTTTTTTTAAGGGAATCCTGGGTTTAGAATAAAGATGGAATAAATGTATTGATTTGTTAGGAGACTATGTAGAAAAATAAATAATTATTTTAACTTTAATTACCGTGTTTTATTTTCATTATCATTACTTTTGGATCACCCCTCGTACTACTTAATGTAAAAAAATCATAAGCATGATCCTTGTAAAATGTTTTTATACTTTATAGTCATCATCAAATATCCTGCTGTGAGGCAAGCTATAGGGGAGGCCTATGTGCACTAGTGGACTTTTGACAGCCTGTAACAAATGAATGAAGAAAAGATTTAATCAATACATGTTGCTTGAAGTTAATGTTATGCAGCAAGTCGATGGATGCTGGTGGCTCAGGACCATGCTTTGTGGCGTTCCTTGGGGGAGACATATGCTTAGCAGTGGTCTTTTGAAGGGTTGTGAAGGGAATGAATTTCATTGAAGTCATTTATCTGTTAATAAATAACATAGTAAAATTGGAATTTCGTTTATATTCGACAGGACGATATTCAATTTTGAAAAATTCTTACTCATTTAGAACATTAATTTATGACAAAAATCATGTGGCACTCTTTATATTCTGTATATAGTTCATATGTTCTGCTGACTTCATGTGTCCATTCATGATGGAAATGGTGTGATATTGTATATTCCGTATATGGTTTGAAGGTTTGCTCACCTCATGTGTCCGTTCATGATGGAAATGATCCAAGTGGAATTGTTACACTTGATGAGATGTCTAGCGTAAAATTCCTTGTGAAGAAATTATTGTTATATTTTTTTAGAAGAGTGGGCAAACGAACATGTGCCGCACATGAACAACTGCAACACTAAGAGAATCGCAGGTGCATTGCCAGTCTTTTAATAAAAGGCCTCTGTTCTTGAATGTCCCTTAGTTGTATCGGTTCAGAAAAATTGCTGGTGGTAGTTGATTTCACAACGAAGTTGTGTGAGGAAGAAAAGAAATTCCTCCTGTAACTCGCACAGTGGTGGACCGCCAACTATCCATATAGAATGGATGGTATCGCGAGTTTTGTTAATATGCGCGATAGTGAAATTGAGCAGCTGCAATTAGTCCGAACAATTCCTCCCCGTGATAAATCCATAAAATACGCAAAAAGATGCAATATCTCTTTATAGTTAGTGCCAGTGAGTCAAGTCGATCAGAATGAGCTCAGTCATCGACGATTCAAACCAATACGATCAAGTGCAAGGAAC